CCCATAAATGGCAACAGCTTCACAAAAGATAATGCTAGAAAAAAAATAAATTAAATTAACTGTCACCAAGTGCCACTGTGAGCTAAAAAAAAAAAAACCTTACACAAGCAAATAAAACCAGACAGTTACTAGACAGATGGAATCATATACAAAAACAACTGTTTTTGTTTTCATATCAGACAAAAGCAACATGAATAAATTAAAAAACATATTTCAGTGACTGTTGCCTAAAATTAGACTTAAATTCTTAGACTTAAGACTGTTGCCTAAAATTTAAGTTCAGCGTTTTTTAATAGACAATTGCAGGACAACTGTGTGTTAACTGGTGTTAAGGTACCAAAATGAAAATATGACAAATACAATGACATTTTATATGTACTGTAGGCCTATATAAGCAAAATCTGAACCCCAATTGTCTCTATATGGTAGCAAAAAAGGGCACATTTGCATAAATAAAAAAAAACACTTTAAAACATTAAGTAAACTGCAAATACCTGACAAGATTTTTGGTTTTGATTCTAGGGGCTTTGACTCCACCACCAATGATGCTGGATCCAGTGATATAAATCCCCCTGCAGAGTCACATACTTGTAATTTACTGCTTGTTTATTACATTTCAAATATTTAAGTAAAAATAATACAAAAGAAACATGCAATATTCATTTTGGTGATTGAGCTATTGATAGAAATACAGAGTTGAATGCCTTTATTTATGGAGCTCTTTTAAACAGTGCAGAAGAGGATATGGAAAACTGCACTACAACATGTCAAAATTTCCAATATGTTTTTTTTTTCTGAGCTGTCAACTTCTGTAAGACACAAAAAAAGAGGAAATAGACAGCCTTACCATGCAGCTCCAACAACAGACAGAGAGATGGCCAGGCCAATTCCAAGATTAGCCCACATAAATGGAGAAGTCTCTGTTAAAAACCTGCAACAGAAAAGGTTAGGTTATCTAGACCTCATTAGGAGCATTTCATTAATCTCAAGTCTCAAATTAGGTCTTGTGGATATCAGAAATGTCACTGTATTGAACAAAACAAGTCCTACATTAAGGTTTCAAAAACTGGTCTTACTCAACACATACCATGCTACATCAAATCGAAATCCAAGGTCAAAAATAGTATAGCAAATACCTGTGAAGAAAGAAAAATAAATTACTAGATTAGTACTGTTTAAGTTAAGTGTTTAAGGTTAACCAGAAATTTAAAAGTGACAGAATTTTCATCTAAACCTAAAAACCCCCTGAAAGTTTACATTCGAGGAAAAAAAAAAGTGGCATAATCTGAATAAACGGCATAATATGGATAGAATTTTTCTGCAAAATCATAGAGGTATTTGTGAAAGCTCACAGTCATGTGAGAGCTATCTTCCTCATTTGGTCATAAAACCCTGTTCAACTACCCCTATAACTAACGTTACTATATAAAAAAAACACTGCCTTCATATTGAATTGAATTTTGCTGCTCTCCTATGCGATTACAGCCAAAGTGTGGAGAAACAGGTGAAAATACAGATAACGTTATCAGAGAAACATTTCAACTACAGCTAACACAATAAAAACGTTCTCGTCAGAGCAGGTGTATGTATAACTCACATTGACAGCCTTTAAAATGATTGGTACTATCTCCATAGCTCGACTTTCAACTGTTTACTCCAATGTTTTACGAAAACAGCGTTCAATACAATTAAAACGACATTTAAATGAATGTTTGGCGTAGTCGTGCTAGTGTATGACAGCTAACGTCAGTTAAGGCAAGCCAAAAATGGCTATCCGGCCAAAGAGACATGAGGAACCGTAACGAATTAGAAAGATAACTATGTACGAATCAAGTCAACATGACTCTATTAAGATGTCCATATGGCAGCTGGTCTCATTAGCACTCACCGACGATCAGGATGGTCGACCAGAAGGCCAAAGTGACCCCGGTGTATAAAATTGCGTGCCCGTTCATCATCCACTCCACCAACAGCACCAGTTTTGCTATCTAAAGGGTTTCCCGCGAATAGACCTAAAGCTACAGTGATGTTATTTTCTGTTAGATTGTATTTTGAAGAGAAATGGATTCCTGTGAGCCCTTCGAAGCGGCGAAGGCTGGAAATCCTGCATCCATCAGAGGGGAAGGAGTCATCAGCTGATCATGTGACGAGCTCGAGCTGTGCACGTGACTCAAGACGTCACGCTTTCTCACATTTACATTTACATTACATCGTCATTTAGCAGACGCTTTTATCCAAAGCGACTTACAAATGAG